GTTTGTATGTAATTGTTTCAACGAGGAACGACGTTTCTCCTTTTTTTTTTTTTTTTTTTTTTAATTAAATTCTTGTTTTACAAATGCAAAAAGTAATTCTTCCTTTTCATTTCACTGTATGATCCTATGAAATCTATGATTGAAATACATTGTTGTATACATTTATGTAGTTGTATAAAATTAATTTATACAAACAATATTGAAAAAGAATTGCATTTTTTTCAAATAGGAGCAGTCGCACAAATCGTACAGGCCTTTGTGCGTTCTCACATTTCGATGGAATTACTTAATTCACCAGTTGGATCCTATGGGATATCACTTGCTTAATGTTATTCTACATGTTGGAGTATGCTTATTATATTTCAGGTGTGCCTTTTTAGACAAACTTTCCTTCCTTAGTTAAACGTTATAATTGATTTAATCATTTGTATGTGCCATTTAACAAATTAAAAATTAAATGCCAAAGAAATGTGACATGTAACACTATTAATTTAGAATTGTTTATATATGTATATCATTGAAATTATTTTTGTGCATTTTATAAATCAATCAGATATTAATATAAAATATGTCTTAATCACCATTGCAGGACTTGCTTGATGTTTCTATCTGACTCTGCAACTTTTGTATCTTCCCTTCTGTTTGCGGTTCATCCTATACATACAGAGGCAGTAAGTTGTTTAGACTCTGCTTTCCATATCGATCGAATCGATCGACGTTACCTTGAAATTACATGAGAATATTATTTGATGAATTATTTCTAGTCCTTGTTCTTCCCTTCGGCGACAATGTATCAATACTGTGTCCAGATTCAAAGGGTCGACGTCGAGCGATCGATCGCGTCGTAGTTCCTAGTTCGTGTTTAGATGCATTGTCAGTGGATAATCGTGTATTAAGGTTACAGGAGTGGTCGGAAGAGCAGAAACATTGTCCTCTTTATTTTATTTAGCGGCTTTAATCATGTATACTAAATGCTGCAGAAGTAGAAGGTCTACAGGTAAAAAATGTTTACTATCTTTTCTCTTATAATGTTATTACTATAATTTACCATTCATTCAAAGAAGCACTAATGCCACATTAAATCTTTTTTTTTAGGATGGAAATCTTTGATATTATCCATGTCTTTTGTTTTCACTGCCATGTTGTGCAAAGAACAAGGAATAACAGCTACTGCAGTTTGTGTATTCTATGAGATTTTTGTTGTACAAAAGGTGAATTTAACATGTGAAATCACAGTTGTTCATATTAAACAATTACTTCAACTTGTATATCTTATTACCTGGTTAGGTAAGAGCAATGGATATCTTCTTGACGTTAAAGGCAGCTTTTGGTGGGAAAAAGATATCGCTCACTTGGTCCAGTGAAGGTACAAAACGACTAACAGTCCTCACGCTCGTCACATTTAGTTTACTTATTCTTCGGCTACATGTAATGGGCTCAAAGTTACCTGTATTTACCAGGTATCTATAGAATAACATACCAGGTTTTAATAGCAGAAAATAATTCTATGGTATTCTAATATCCTAATGGTATTTTAGATTTGACAATCCTGCATCTGTGGCCCCAACGCCAATAAGGCAGCTTACCTATAATTACCTCGCAGCAGTTAATCTGAGGCTGCTATTTCTTCCAAACGATTTATGCTGTGATTGGACTATGGGAACGATACCATTAATAGAAAATTTTACAGATCTTCGCAATCTGGCTACTATAGCGACTCATACGACCATATTAGGATTGTTGATAACAGCAATTTTAACACCTAATAGACAAACTTCCATTATTCTTATAATGGTTAGTATCATTGTTGTATCAACATAAACTAAAAGTATTATTTCTAAAAAAACAAAAACAAAAATGACATTATTGAATGTTTATATAGAGCTTGGCTATGATGATACTCCCATTTTTACCTGCCTCAAATCTCTTCTTCCCAGTTGGATTCGTCATTGCCGAAAGAGTATTGTACGCCCCATCTATGGGATTTTGTATGCTTGTCGGATATGGGTGGAGCATTCTATGCGATAAAAAGTAAATACCGTTGGGTATTCAAAATCCTTTTAAAACATATCTCTAATTTTCACTTTTTGCACTTACAGATTTAAGAAATTAACACTATTTTTATTAATAACTCTTTTGGCTGCGCACACAACGAAGACTTTCATCAGGAATTACGATTGGCTGGATGAATATTCCATATTCATGTCAGGATTGAAAGTGAACGATCGCAATGCCAAATTGTTCAACAACGTTGGACACGCTTTGGAAAGTCAAGGGAAATTCAAGGAAGCGTTGAATTTTTTTAATATGGCTGTGCAAGTTCAAGGCGATGACATTGGTGCGCACATCAACGTGGGTAGGACCTACAACCATTTGAAAATGTTTAAAGAAGCCGAAGACGCATATTTGAAGGTAAATGTGCTTTGTTGAAATGATACAGTTGTCAAGGATCACTTGTCTAATAACCTTTTTTTCAGGCAAAATCTTTACTACCGAAAGCGAAACCGGGAGAATCTTACCAAGCGCGAATAGCTCCGAATCATTTGAATGTTTTTGTAAATTTAGCAAACCTAATAGCAAAGAATGCAACTAGGTTAGAAGAAGCTGATCTGCTTTATAGGCAAGCCATTAGTATGCGCGCCGATTACACACAAGCGTACATTAATCGGGGCGATGTTTTAATTAAACTTAATCGTACCAAAGAAGCGCAGGAAGTTTACGAACGGGCCCTTTTCTACGACAGCAACAATCCAGACATTTATTACAACGTAAATATCGAGATTAAGATTATATATAGGATATGTATATTACCAATGCTTTACAGCGATGAGGTATTAATGTGACGATGCTTGAATTTTTATAGCTTGGAGTCGTATTTCTTGAACAAGGAAAAGCATCTCAAGCTCTGGCGTACCTTGACAAGGCTCTCGAATTTGATCCAGAACACGAACAAGCACTACTCAATTCAGCCATTTTGCTTCAAGAGCTAGGTCGCGCTGAATTGCGAAAAGTGGCCAGAGAAAGACTTCTGAAACTTTTACGAAAAGTATTTCTCATTTTTATATTATCTACACGTTCGAGACAGTGTCGATTCTATTCTTTCGTGGTTTCATCTAGACGTGATCTTAGCTAACATCCAAGAAATGGTAAAGACATCTCTGTGCAGTCAAATAACGGAAGGCATATCAAATTCGGCTCTGTCTCCAACGTGTTTCCAGTGGACAGATAATATTTCAAAATATTTCTTCGTATCGTAAACGTATCGGCGCTTACTTTTAGGACTCTAATAACGAACGGGTTCATTTCAATCTTGGAATGTTGGCTATGGACGATCACGACAGCGGTAGCGCGGAACGATGGTTTCGCAATGCCGTTGCTCTCAAAGAGGATTTCCGTTCCGCATTGTTTAATTTGGCACTTTTGCTAGCGGACGAACAACGCCCCCTTGAAGCTGCACCATTTTTAAACCAATTAGTTAGATTTCACCCGGACCACGTTAAAGGATTGATCCTTCTAGGTGATATTTATATAAATAACATAAAAGATTTGGACGCTGCTGAAAATGTAAGTAAAGAAGAGAAGCTAATCAAATTAATTAAAGTCACGAAAGCACTGAATAAACTTTTCTTTTTTTTATTTTTTTTTTTCTTTTAAACGGTTTACAGTGTTATCGCAGAATATTGCAGCTGGATCCAACAAATATCCAAGGTCTTCACAATTTGTGCGTCGTGATGGTCGAGCGTGGTAAGTTAGGCTTGGCCGCTCAGTGTTTGGAACGAGCAGCAGCTCTGGCGCCTCATCAGGACTACGTGCACAGACACTTGGCCATCGTGAAGGCCCGTATCAGCAGACTACCTCCGGAGCAACGTGACACAGAGATATTCGACGATTTCTTTTGGCAAACTAGCCCCAAGGAGAGGAGCTTCATGGGGGACATTTCCAGCAGCAGTAGCGTTGGTAGCACTAGCGGTGCAAGCGGTCTCGGCAACATGGAAAATAGCGGTAGCCAGTTCTTAGGCAAAACGGATTCTGTATTTTCGAATCACCATAATCACATAGGCCATAAGAAAAGCACGAACTCCATCAGTAATCACATCGCGCATCTGAAGAGTTCATCGAAATCCGCGAGAGTTCCATTGAGCGAGATGAAAACGGAAGTGAAGGACACGCACGTCAGCCGTGACAAGACGTCGACGACGGGTGCGAGTTCGAACGAGCAGCAGGAGTTCTCGCCTAGAAGGGTTTTCGGCAAGGGCGTGAGCTCGGATGCAACGGAATTGACAATCGATCGAGAACGTGCGGCTAAAATAATTAACTCGGAGAAGTTCGATAGGGCTACACCGGCATTTTCGACTGGCGAGACGCATGCTGGAGCTACACGTCAAAAGGACACCGCACTTTCATAGTACTGACATTTGAAAATTGCGCCGAATACTGTATAAAAGTTATATTCTACATATAACGAAAGAATAATGGTGGTACAGTCGTATAGAGCTAATGTGTGAATATAAAATAAATACAGAGTATTGTTTTATATGCTGTACGAATAGAACGTTTTGTAAAATATATTTAAAAAATGTGCAACCCCTTGGTCTTGTCTTTGCAATTCTACGCAGATAGAGGTAGATCTCTATTCACAAATAATTCCCTCTTCTACTTTTTAGGTACTTGTACAGTCTTGCGTTACGCTTCAATCTTTTGTTTATTAAAAAGAAAAAAATCAAACCTAAATTTTTGAACTCTTTAATCTTCTTAATACTCTCATTGAATCAAAAGTATGTTAATTTCTGTATACATCTTTATAACAATATTCTGATAATTCCAAATCTTATTAAAATCCAAAAGAAAAAAGTTGCGATTGATCATTTTATTTGTTCTAGCTGAAATCGTTAATCTAGAAATTGAAAGTACACATTTGAGAGTGTTGAAATGATAAGGAATTTGCGTGCAAAATTTATTTCGTTATTCAATAGCACGGATAATGGCGGTAGTAATAAGCAGTAACGATAGATAACACAGAAACACGATGATTAACCAGGGAATACAGCTACGACGCCGCGTAAGCGAAAGAGAGAGAAAAAAAAACGAAACAAAACTTAAAATAGAAACGCGAGGCTGATCGCGTACGTTGGCAGAGATTGGGTTTATATGCATATCGCGAGAATTGCCAATTTTACAACAGAGCAGGACGTCTCTCGAACGTGTGGCTCTCTTCTCCTTTCCTTCGTTTCTTCTCTACATTTCCTTCCCCTCCCTTTATCTTTGACTCGTTCCGTTTGCACTCCTTCTCTCCTTCTATCGTTTCTAAATCCTTCTCTTCTAAATTAAAAAAAAAAAGAAAAAGAGAAGAAGATAACACGCTCGAGCGCAAAGACTTCTTCGGCTTCGGTTCAGTGTAGTTCGAGGATGTTCCCTGGAAAAGTAAACGCGTCGGTGTTAATTACATATTGATTGTTTAGCCTTCGAATTTTACGGAAAAAGAAAGAAAGAAAAAAAAAAGAAAAAAGAGACGAGAGAGAGTATCGTCGAGCGGAGTGGTGTTCAATTGTTTCGACGGGCCGAATGAAATGAAGACAAACAAACGGAAAAAAAGAACAATGCGTTACTGCGAGTCGGTCTTTCGTGTTGGCCGTTTTTGCTCGTTTTAAGTGCGGTGGGATATCTGCTCGAAGGATATTTGTGTCATGTTCGGTCATAGATTGTAGAAAACATCTCCACAGGAGAACCCCCCCCCCCTCCCCCGAAAAGAAGAAACGAATTGCGAAAGAATCGGGCCTTCCCTTCCTCCTCTGATTTCCATCAGAGATCTTCTTGATCTTTTTTCGAAGTGATCCGATTCGACAGGTCGATCGATCGATCGATCGATCGATCGACACACAGTTGTCCCCGCAGATCGATAAGCGATCGTTAGAACCAGTGAAGCTGGTCACTCGCCGCTTCTACGCCCGGAAAATTCGCGACGAAGAGGACGATTCGGAAGAAGGAAAGAGAATATGAATAAAACACTCGCCGTATAGGAAATATACTCGACAGAGAGTTAAAGAAATCGGAAGGTAACTCCTAGCTAAACTAATTTCACTATTATGCACGTAACAGCATGCTGCTAATAAATCTCAAACACTGGTTGCCCCAAATTGGTTGAGACCAATAGTTGAAATAATAAAGACCAATAGTATCGCCTGAAAAAAAAAAATACTTCGTCGTGAAAAAAACTATTTTTATTGTCGTAATATTTATAGCTAATCTTCCAATAGTTCCAACATCATTGTCTTGTCACTAGTCTACGCGAGATGTGTGAGACAGACGTGTCTTCTTCTTCTTCTTTTCTTCGGCGTGTGTTCAGCGACAGTATTATATCTGCGTTTGTTTACAATACTTGCGGTACAACTTGAAAATTATATCGAAGCAGAAGAAAAAGAGAGAAAGAAAAAAAGAAAGAGTCAACTCTCATAACAATGGATATCTTTGGATTCAGTAATTATCGTGCACGTTATTCGTCCCTGGGGATATATATTCTGCGTGAATGATAAACCTAACTTTCGTTTCGTTTCGTTTCAGTCTGAGTTCCGTCGGTTTCTTGTAAAACTGTTTTGCGAAAATTCGGACGGAGGCCTGCTCCTCTTAAATATTGTTATCTCTCAGCTTTCGTTTGCCGAGGAACGGTTCTTAAGGTCGACGACAAGGGGAGAGCTGCTGTTTTCGCAAATCGAGACTCTCTCACGCGGGTTTTCTTCCTGACAGATCCTTTTCCAGACGTTCGCACGTGGACGTGCAAGAATCGCGTGAAATTCATGGGATATTTGAAATACATTCCTCAACGCGGAAAGATTTGCAAATGCGAGAGATATTCACATTTGCACGAATGATATCTAAAAATAGGTCGTTACTCGACGGCTGGTACGCGACAGCAACATCGTTATTGATAAGTTCCTGATAAATGTTAATAAAAGCGATTTAAATAGACACACTTGAGAGGATACCGCTTACGATAACTTGAATTTCGAGTTCCACCCAGCGCGAATGTTCGCTTTTAAGTTTGGCTTGTTCGAGTTTAATACACGCATAGAGGAGAATTTCTTTTCACTTACTCAACAGATAACTGAACATTGTATCAATCGTATTACAATAGTACTGTATGTTGCACCGATAATGGCAATTACACTGTTACAACCTGCAGATGTTTATGGATTTATAAAGAGCTCGAGTCGATATAAAAATATATAAAACGTGCGAGATACATGGCTTTATTTGGGCACTATCGTCAGCGTGAATTTGCATAAACATTCGCAGTTATAAGATAAATAAGATTAATAATTTCCTTCGATGTAGGCTAGTGTAACGCCAAGCTTGGATTTTGCTAAATGTAAAAAATTGTTTTCAATATTTCATTGCTTCTAGATGCACACAAATCGGTTGTACACGCTCGTGAGTTTAATGCTACTGACAGTGATCCTAATGCCGATAGCGGGACATGCACAGTCGGATATGTTTCAGTATGGCCAGAAGGAACAATCTATGTCAGAAATGCACCAATATTGCGGCCGCATGTTGTCAAGCACCCTAGAGATAATGTGCGGTAGTGTTTACAATCCCCGATTTAAGAAAAGCAATCAAGGTAGGTAAAACCATTGTATCCAACTCATTGGTTAAAAAAAAAAAAAGAAAAAAATGACGAACGATAAGGAAAGAAAACACTAGGGTTAAAAAAAAAAAGAAACTACAGGAATTCTTTTCTTTCTTTCTGTCTCTTTCTTTTTCAGAAATGGAAATGGACAATTATGTGGGTTACAGTTACGATCTGCATTCTTATCTCAAGTCCTATAAAAATGCAGTCGAAATGATAAAATTTCGTAGGAACACGCGGGGAGTTCACGAAGAATGTTGTTTAAAATCTTGTACGACCGAGGAGCTGCGCTCCTACTGCGGTGCTCGTTGATGAGAGAATCTCTTCTTTTTTTTATTTTTAAATTTAAACATAAAACTAAAATATTACCTGTCTCCTTTTTACTTTAATTTTCAGATTGTAATTATTGTGTTACGGTCGTTTCTGTTTTTTTAAAGTTAAGAAATAATAGCGAGTATTTATGTATGTGATGAAAATTTGCATAATAATTGTCAGCTTCAACCGCGTTGGTTCGAGCGACTGAAACGTAACAAAATTTATTGAAAAAAATTTGATCTCATTTACTGTACTTAACTCTACATTGTGTGAGACCAATGGTAATCATTAAATATATCTTTACGTACAAATGTCTCTTTCTTTAAAGATGTACAATTCAAAAAGAAAGAATAATAACAATCAATAGGTTAGTTTTTGTAAGATTTATAAAAATTTAATTCTTTAGGAGGTAAATACGCATAAATTATTTACTGTACTTGTATGTATAAATAAAGGATGAATACCTACAAATTTAATGTAGCGTTAAATATTGAATTAATATCATTTGTGTACTTTATACACATCCTTCTAATTAGGTTATATGTGCATGTACATATGTGTAAAAAAATAAAAAAGATAAAACCAGGAGAACTAAATTTATGCGTATAATTGTACAAAGACTGAAAAGAATCCATCTATTAAATATAAAATTTCTGCAGGTGAAAAATTTTTGAGAATCTTCAGATTATGTGCATAAATATTTGACAAGGAATGGAGGCAGAAGAAATTTATAATCTTACAGTTTTTCCACCAGTTGTATCCAAATTTTCAATTCAATGGTCTGCAGACAATCATATATCAATCCTTACTGAGGGAGGAGTTCACATATTTGTAAGTTTAATTTAACAATGTCCATATTACATCTAGAATTAATATAACGTACTTAATAGTGTTATCTTGTATAGGAGTTAGTACCTTCTCCAATGTCTCCTTGTTCAACTATAAAGTTTATTAGAACTTTTATTTATGCACCTACAACATTACCAACAGAAAGTGTATCTAACAGAATAGAATCTAAAATTTGGGATATGCCACGTGAAGCACTTTATTCCTTTATGATGGAAGAGAGTATAACTCCAAAATTATCTAATGTAAAAGAAATAGTACCAAAAATAGTTAACTTAGCATGGTCACCACAAGATTTAATACATCCCAGTAAGTGTCTTATTGCAATTTTAACTTCAGCAGGTGCTATTACGATTGCATACAAAATTTCTAAAGATTGGTATTCTGCATACGATTTGTCTCCTATTCGCTATAATTTTATGGAACAAGAAATTAATACAAAATTAAAGGAGATTAAAAATAATTCAAAATTTGAAACATTTAGGAATTGCTTGAAAGCATTACAAGCTTCTTGTTTTACCTGGAGCAAACTTTTTGTAAACTTCTCATATTTTACCGTTACATATTTCAATGGAGATATAATTATTTATAAAGTTTCAAAGATACTCAGTTATAATGAAATACCAAACCTTAAGATTGTAGGAACAATAAGATTAAATGAATATATAAAAATAAATGCTTTAAAGTGGGTTACAATTGATGCAAAAAAGCATTTAATTATTATTGGATATATTGATGGACGTATTTATGGTCTTAACGTTGAAGATCATGATGGAAATTTGGAACTAAAATTCATTGAGAAGTACTACGATTATAAAGATCGTATTTCTATAAGCGCTTTTAGAATATTTCCTCAGAATAATTCGGATATAAAGATTTTGGTTGCAAAAGGCAACTTTTTGTTTTTGTTATGCATTGCGGAAAATAGTACATTAAAGTCTATGGAACATTTGCAATTAGAAGGTTTCACGATTTCGGGTAAATAACCATTATCATACAATTTACAGAAATACTCATACATAATTATATGTACAACACTAATATAAATACATTAATAATTTTTAGGAATAATTTGTATAAGTGAAAATTATGCGTTAGTTACTACAGAAAATGGTTCGATGTTTCCAGTTAATACCGAAGAAGGTCAATTTTTAAAAACGAAAATAAATAATAAGTTATCGCAAAATCACGTTCGGTACCTAGGCCTTGCACATTCACCAAGTTGTGTAATTTTCGCAAAAGTAACTAGTCCGGATACTATATACGATCATTTAATACTGAAGGAACCAACCAAAATACATATGTTTTGTTTAAAAAGCAGAAACTGGGATCCATCGGTTATTTTAAATGAAAGGAAACACGAGAGATTAGAGCAGTTCTGGGATTGTTTAGAAGCCATTAGAATGAAAGCAGTAAAAGCGTCAGATCCGTCGACTGTTTTACTAAAAATTCCATCTAATTTAGAATCATTGTCTTTACATGAATTACGAGTAGTAATGTGGACATCTGTAATGATGAAAATTTGCGAAAAGAGAAAAATCATCCAGGGAATAGATAACATTACTGGAGAAATATCGGAAGCTCAACCCTTGATCTTTATTCATACTGCGTGCAATTATCTTATGCATCTTGAAAGTAAATCTTCTTTATCAGAACAACAGAAACTTTCTATGCGTTTATTAAGGATGTATGTAGAAATTTATGTAGTTGGAGAAGGAGAAAAAACAACTCTCCTTTCCAAACGTGTTAAAGACGTTCTGAAAAAAACGTCTAGATTCGATTTGGAGAATAACGAAGCTTGCAATTTATGCGGTAAAATTATAAACAAACTTTCCTGGAAAGTCACCAAATGCACAGAAGGTCATATATTACCCAGATGCGCTATTACTCTTTTGCAAATAACTACCGTTCAGTACAGAATGTGCCCGATATGCGGTTTAATTTTTCATCCGTGTTTGGACCAAGAGTTCGAAGAAACGAGGTGTCTTTTCTGTGATGTTCCTACGCTTGAGGAGAACCGAGTGTTAGATGCAAAGTATTGCATTCCAAAGGAAAAGAGTTTGTCTAGATTTCAAAGTCAAAATCCAGGAGCATCAGAAAATCAAGAAATGGAGGCAACGGCTGATGAATCTTAAAATGTGTAAATTAAAAATAAATAATGTGATATTGTAATAAGTAATATGTTATTAAAATAATAATTTCCTGAGAGAAGATTAAACTTCCATCAGGAGAAATATTAACTTCTTAAATGTTATATCACAACATGTATAAACTATTTACTTGTTTTTATTTATATAATTTTGTATAATTCTGTGTATTTATTTATTGTTAAATAATGTATTTTCAATAATAAATAACTTTTCTTAAAGAATGTTTTTTTGTATGTACATATACATTTTATACATTTGTACTCTTCATAGAATATTTTCATATTCAATATATTTCAGTTATGCATTATAAATAAGTAGAAAATTTTCGTATTCATTACGAAAAATCTCGACGTGCATAAAAGTAACTGATTTGATATATTTAAATATAATTTAAAAATAGTTCTATGCCCTACATCGTCAGAGGGCGGTAGAAGGTAACCGTATTTATCTCATTGTCAGTAAGAGAAAATAAATACAAAGTTGCAAGTAATTATTATATTTTTATACGTGTATAATTTTCCCATTTGATTGTCATACATTCAATTAATTTGAGCATAATAATCTCTGGATGATCTACAGTGATTTATAAAAAAAATGTCAGACATAAAGCTTTTTCCCATGTTTGTTATTTAATCGGTTTGTTTTGATGCTAAAAGTACAATACGATTTAAATTTATCTGTGTGCGCAAGTATCGTAGAAACGAGATATTTATCAAATATCATATGAATCTTGCAGCATATTTTAAACTCTATTTTATTCTCGAACAATTAACGTGCGAAAGCGAGAATGGCAATTATGCATTCGTTCAACAAATAAGTCCTATTGTCGTGCAAACTGTATTCGATGTAAAATGTTATGAAAAATAAAATCGTAGTAGTTTTTCAAGGTTGAGGCAAATTAATGTAACATACTCGCATATATAGAGAAGCTTTCATTTACTTATACATATCTAAGAGAAAATAATCATGTAACATCAGAGTTGCAATTTATAACAACTTTTAGTCATAAGGAATGTTTAATATCTTTTTTTAGAAATAATATGTCAAACACAATGATTTTAATTATTGTTAAGTTATTGAATACTTTATTAAGCAGAAAGAAATATTGGTTAGAAATTTTAAATAGAAATTGTTAAATAAATGAAAAAGGAGTATGTTTCTATCACTTCAATTATATGATTACTTTTTACAGATATAATACAAATATTCTTCTTTAGAAAGAAGTAACTAAGTCCAGTACTTTAGTTCTTCTATCCATCATTGCAATAAAATATCATTCATTAGAAAATAAAAATGCTTGTACTTGATTGCTTGAAACATAAAGAATTATCTCATTAATTATGTCACACAGTGGGTATGTACAATAGAAAAGATTATTATACTTATTGTTTCTTAATACTCACAAATACTAAGAAAAAATTATATTTGATTATTTAAATGGACTCTTGTAATCTTCTTCATATTGTATATTGTATTGTAATTTGTTTAAAGTATATTCATAATTTAATAGCCTATATTTGATTTCAGAAGAAACATTAAAAAGAAATGTCCATATTTGACAGAGATATCTGATACAAATCACAAACGTTCTCCTATTTATATAAAACAAAGGGTCGCAAAAGTGAAGAAGATGCAAAAAACAATGCAGTCATTATGTGATAATGATTCAAGTTCCACTGAAAGCATACGATCTTTCTTTTTTAAGTCTAGGCGTAAGATAAATAATTTCTTGTAAAAAAAATTAAGAGTGTTAATCATGGTAATCAAATTGCCTTAAAATAATTTTTAGGTAATTCAGATGATACATCATCCGATGAAGATACCTTCAATAGATTGAGACAAAGTAAAAGTTCTACATCATGTACAGTTAGTACAAAAGAAAATGAAAGTCATCTTCATAAACAAGAAAAACGCAAAGGACAATTAAAAATTGACTTGCAAAAAAATAACATGAGAAATAAGAAAACTGATTGTAATAATGCAAGGAAAGAAAATGATGACAGCAGAGATTCGGTTTTAAGCCATTCGGACAATGCAACATATGGAAAGCTTACTAAAAAAAAGACAAAGACACGTTCATTATCAAAGTCAAACCAGAAAGATTTCACCGACTTGCATCAGGAAAAATCTGATTCCAATTCTGATAAGGAATTCCAGAAATCAAAGATTTCTTATACTAGTTTGAATACTGAGAGAAAAGCTAAAAAGAGTCAAGTGATATCTAGTGACTCAAATTTAGAGTCCACATCACAATTAACAAAAAAAATTACAATTAATAAAGAACAAAGCTTACAGTTCAAATCTCATGTCCTCAAAATTTTTAATAAATTTAAAACTGTCTGTTCAGAATATGAATTACAAATGGAACGTGTAAAATGGAAATACTTCAAGAAAGAATTGGTGTATCAGGAATCAGCGTATAATGTTATAAGAAAATCAAAAAGTGTGATTAACAATCTTGTAATGGAACTCAATGCACAAGAGGAAGAATTAATCAATTTCTATGAAGAATGGAATAAACATAAAATACAAAGGACGGATCATGAGGAGAGTTCTTTAAGTGAAAACGAAGTAGCAAAAGAAACAGAGACTAAAGAGGGATTAGAAAAATCAAGAAATAACTCAAATGCAGAAAGTGTAGTTTCCGAATGTGATAATGATGAAATATTTTCAGACGAAGGAACAAGTGCTAATAAAAACAGAACAAATAATGGTACAATAACTGTTTCAGAAACATCAATAGACAACAGTGGAAATAATGATCAAACTTCTATTTTGGTAAACAAAGAAAGAAATAAAACTCACATAAAAGCTGATGAAAATGAAAAAACATCTGAAAAACTTCAGATACCAACAAATGAAAACAATTTGAACGAATCCATAGATGATATATTTGAAGAAAATACAAATGAAAATATAGATGACATCAATAATTCGAATGAAGTCGAAGATGAACATAAGAATGAGGATATTCTAAACATGAAGGAAGTTGGGAAAAATAATGATAATAAAGATAAAAACTTTTTGGGATGTGAAAAACTGAGTACAGAACTTGAAGATAAAAATTCATGTTCTGAAAATGCAAAATCTGAATCAGTTCCTTTTAAAGAGGATATAAAATCAACTGAAACAAAGGAAGATGACGTTTTAGATGATATTGATGCCGAAAGACAAGCTAAAGTAGCTCTATTGGAATCAGACTCAGAAACACAAACAAATGATGAATCATTGGCTGAAAAGCCTACTAAAAGTTTTGGCATAAGTGATAATTTCGAAGAAAAAGATGTGTCGCAATCAGAAGAGAAAAAATGTGTTAAAAAAGGAAGAAAAAATAAGACTCCAGATATCCCTGAAAATAATTCACCGAATGAACTTGATGAAGAAGCTTATGCTAAACAAGTACTACTTGAATCAAATTCAGATGATTCTACGAGTCCTTGTAATAATAAGAAAACTGATAGTAAGAAAACTTTTAATAAAAAACGTGAGACAAGTGACAATAGTGAAAATTCAAGTTCTGATAATGATATTATATTGGAAACTCCAACAACAAAGAAAAATAAAGATAAAGAAAAAGATCACGTAAAAAATAAGAATGTATTGGACTCTAAAAGATCAGTATGTTTATCCAAAATAAACTATACCGGGCCAGATAAAAAATTAAAAATGTTTGCTAAAATTATTGTTGAAAGATTACCGAAGGATGTTCGTAAAAAGTATGAAAATGCGTTAGAGAAATCTCGAGAGTATTTGGAGAATAAAGAGTTTAGAAGGTATAAAATAAATATATTGTTTTTCATATTAACTTGCAATAAAATTTATATTTTACTTTTACAGTCTAATTGACTTGGGCAGATTACGAAGAAATACCATTGATCATAAGAGTACCATTGATTCAATACAAAATCCCTTGCCAAAAAAAATAAGAAAGGCTAAAGTGCAGGAAATTGAAGATTCTCTACTGGACCATTTAAAAAATGTGGAAGATAAGGAATTTGAAGAAAATACAGAGGAAGATTCTAATACAGAAAATAATAGCTCAATCACAAATGCCGAAATGCAAACTAATTTTCAGTCTAATAGAGAATTAATGCTAGAAGCAGATGCAGCTACTAAGAAATCACTTTTATGTTCTTCTGATTCAGATTTTGGTATTAAATTAGATTCTTTTAAATATTATTTCTTAATATTATTTAATATTATTTAATAACATTATAAAGTTAAATTTTATGTATATTTCTTTTAATTCAGGTAAACAAAAAGAATCTGCTTCTGAAAACAGTAATAGTGATGATGACAAAAATAAATCCAAATTAAAGAATTGTTCAAAACAAGCGACTGAAAAAATAAAAAAAGAGAGTAATGATGAGGTAACAATTAAAGTGAATTAATAATTTTTTTTTTGTAGATTAAGGTATTAATTAGCTCAAGTGTACCTAGGAAAATGATGACAACCGGAAGAAAAATAAATGGAGACAAGATAAACTATTAAAAATGAAATTATCCTCTGATTCAGATTCTGATGTAGCAAGAGAAAAATGGAATAAGAAACAAAAAGAAATAGAAAATCATACGTGAGTTACTTAACAATCATTGATGAAACAATCATATGAACAAATCGGTAATATATTAAATAAATTATTGCACTTTTTTCAATAGTGAAACTTCAACTACCAAGAATAAAGTTGTGAAACGTGAAAAAAGAAAGTGTAGAAAGATTATAGATTCTGATTCAGATGTACAGCTGTTAAATTCTGATACAGAATCAAGTAGTTCGGGTAATAAATCAGATAGTGACTTTTCAGTGGGGAAACTAAAAAACATACGTAAACGTAAGTCACGTAAATCATCTGATACGGATTCTTCCGTTGCAGAAAAAAGGTACTTTTTTTTTTAATAGTTATTTTCAATAAAAATATATGATACTTTGAGAAAATCATTCTTAGATTTTTATATAAGAATGAATTTGATTCCAATATGTTATTTACTACTTAATAATCTTCCTGTCTAGAAATTCTTTAAAACTTTACTCTTCTTCTCCTTTTTTGTAGTAAACCATCAATTTCATAATAAAAAATTAATCGTATAAACAAATTTGTTATGGCTTTCTATACTGATTTACATATTTTTAGAAAGCGGAAGAGAAAACGCATTAAAAATATGCCTAGCGATAGTGACGAAAGTATCGATAAGGATCAGATCACGAATTCTCAAGGAACACCTGGAAAAAAAGGACGAAAAAATATACGGAAAGTAATGAAAGATAAGCAAGTTACACATGATACCAAGCAAGCTGCAAAAGAAGAGGAAGAAAGACTTAAACGTATTTCTGAAAGACAAAAACTGGTACATATTTAATTAATTAATTCTTAACTCATTCGTTACCTTGTAAGAATAAATAAAAAACTTCCTTTTAAATTTTAATTTTTTTTTAAATTTAATTAATATAGTACAATGAGATGTACGAAATAAGATTGGCCGGGGAAGAAAAAGTAGACACATTAGTATTAGATTTTGATCCTGAAACGAAAAAAGAATTGGTGACTGTTCATAAAGATTTAGTAAAGAATTTGAAACCTCACCAAGCTAAGGGAATAAAATTCATGTGGGATTCGTGTTTTGAATCATTGGAAAGAATAAAGTCTTCCAGTGGATCTGGATGTATACTTGCACATTGTATGGGATTAGGCAAAAGTCTTCAAGTAATTGCCTTGGTACATACACTTTTGACATACGAAACGGGTATCAAAACAGTTATGATCGTTTGCCCTTTAAGTACGGTACTCAATTGGGTAAACGAATTTGCCACATGGTTGAAGGACATAGATGACGATATCGAAATTTACGAAATGACGAAGTAAGCCAACATTATATTGTATTTACAAATTTAAGAAATTTAGATATTAATAAAGTAAATTTATGAATTTTAATTTTAATACATAAATTTAGAATTATTGACAATTGAATGGTAATACAATATTTATCGGTGATATTTTTTAAAGATTGAAGAAGAATATAGAACGAAGATTTCAATTGGAAAGTTGGCAGAAATCTGGGGGCGTGTTCATTATCGGCTATGAAATGTTTAGGAATCTTAGCGGCGCAAATAAAAAAATGAGAAAGAATATGAAAGAAGCAGTTTTACAATACTTAATAGATCCTGGTCCGGACGTGATAGTTTGTGACGAGGGGCATTTACTAAAAAACGAGGATACTGCTCTTAGTAAATCTATGAATCGTATTAGAACACTACGGAGGATTGTACTTACAGGAACACCGCTTCAAAATAATCTGATAGAATGTAAAAATTGATCAATATCGAACAATAAGTATTTCGTCTCTAAGTGGTTCAATATTCGTCTAATTAAATATTATAATTGATATATTGTAGATCACTGTATGGTACAGTTTGTAAAACCAAATCTTTTAGGAACAAAGAAAGAATTTCTAAATAGGTTTGCAAATCCAATAACTAACGGCCAGTTCGATGATTCTACCGAATATGACGTTAAATTAATGAAGAAACGTGCATACGTTTTACACAAGATGTTAAAGGGCTGTGTGCAAAGATTCGATTATTCTGTGCTAACACCTTTCTTACCTCCGAAACAAGAATACGTGATCTTCGTCAGTTTATCAGAAGTGCAAGTTAATTTGTATCAACATTATTTGGATAATTTTGCAAGGTACGTGAAACAATTTTTGAACGAAATTTCAAAATTTGATGTATGCCTTTCGTTTCAGACGATTACGCAATGCCAATGGATCTCTTTTCGCGGATTTCCAGGTGTTACAAAGAATATGGACACATCCTTGGGTTTTGCGAAAAAATGCAGAGAAAATAGAAAAGATGAATGAGAAAAGGTTCACCGATGATTCCGAAGGTTCTTTGAAAGATTTTATTAATGATGGCGATTCAGATACTTCTACCAACTCTAGTACAAGCAGCGTTATTGAAGACAATGACGACGTCCAAGCCGTCGACGAGGAACCTGAGAAAAAAGAAGAGGAATGGTGGTTACAGTTCGTCAAACCTGAATACTTTGAAGACATGAGGATTTCCTCTAAATTGATACTACTTTTTGGAATTTTGAAAGAATGCGAACAAATTGGAGACAAAGTGTATGTTTTTCTCATATTATTCTGGGAAGTTCGCAATAATTTTTGCACTGTTTTTAAAAATCATAATAATCATTTTAGCCTGGTATTTTCGCAATCGTTGTATTCGTTGAGTCTAATCGAGCACTTTCTTGAAAAAATCGATAATGCAACGCAGAATGACGAAGTTTCTGAATACATTGACGGACATGTTGGAAGTTGGTCATTGGGAATAGACTATTTTCGATTGGATGGTCAAACATCCGCTGAGAATAGAAACTCATGGTGTAAAATATTTAATGAACCGACAAACACAAGGGCAAGATTGTTCCTAATTTCGACTCGAGCAGGTGGACTGGGAATTAATCTAACCGCAGCCAATCGCGTTATTATTTTCGATGCAAGCTGGAATCCTTCTCACGATGTTCAAAGTATATTTCGTATATACAGGTATGCGTTTTCTGATTCATCGTACTCGACCGTAACATTTTGCAATCACGTGCGACTTACAGATTTGGCCAGAAGAAACCATGTTACGTCTATCGGTTTCTAGCAGCTGGAACAATGGAAGAGAAGATTTATAATCGACAAGTGACGAAACTGTCACTTTCCTGTAGAGTAGTTGATGAACAACAAATAGAACGTCATTATAGCAATCATGATTTGAGTGAATTATATACATTTGAACGGAACACCGGAGAGAAACCGACTCTAAATTTACCCAAAGACATTTTATTAGCAGAGATATTTTTGAAATATAAAAATTTCGTAGAGAATCATCACGAACATGACTCTCTCCTGGAAAATAAAGTAACTTACAGCTACAATAACTTTTTGCTCGTTTTGAAATAAATTTTCCTTATAAATGTATTTTAAAAACAGGCAGAGGAAGAACTGAATGAAGAAGAGAGAAAGCAAGCTTGGTTAGAATACGAAGAGGAAAAGAAAGGAAAACCGCCAGCAATGCCATCATATTCAGCAAATAATATGATGGCGTTCCCAAATAATATGATGTTAAATCAGTATAATATGGCATCAATATTTACCGCTGGCACGGATATCAAACAACTCCAAGAACTTCTTCGAAAAGATGTAAGAATATGATTTTTTTTTTTTTTTTTTTAATTAATCAACTCAAATATTTTATTTATACTTATTGATTTTACATTTTATAGTATCCTAATACATCACCGGAAGCCCAAAAAATAATGACTGCTAGTGTATTAACAAAAATGTACAACTACTGGGAACAACATTCTTTATATAATAATGCAAATCGAATGGTCAATCAGGTATTTCAATAATTTCTTACAGTTTTTCTATTGATTCGGACACAAAACATGTTTTGGTTTGAAATTTAACTGAAATATTTTTTTAATGAACATTAGAATCCAAATGTGAATCCAGTACAGATAAGGACTCAAATACCCAATTTGGCACGAGTATCTTATGTAGTACCAAATACAAATAAGAATTTAGCCAATCAATCAAATAATTATAGGACTACTGATATTAGAACGGAAAATATCGACGATGATGTTATAGAGGTGATGTAAGAATTAAAGTTATATAAATCTTTATTAGATGTAAAACTCTATAATTCTAAGAACTATAATTTCAGGTCACCTCAACTACAGTAAATAACAAAAATAAAAATCAAGAGGAATAAATGAGATAAAAGAGGTGCGATAAACATTACTAAAAGCTATATAATATTATTATTAAATAATATTAATATTATTTTATATAGTTTAATATTTTATTTTAAATTTTTATATTGTATTTTGTATTGCATTTTATTATATTATTATATTTATATACTTAATACTTAGCATCAGTATTGATATAATAGAATAACATATATAGTTACAAGAATTAATTAATCATTTCTATTTAATGAGTTCTATAGTTTATCAACTATATATACATACATACATATGTTTATATAAGTTATATATTCATACTAATTGCAAGAAATTTTTATACCAACTTAGATTGCTTGGGTAGAATATTAATAGAATGTATAATTTTCCAAATTAGCGGTAATAGTGGTAAGCTTATATTATAACAATTAAGAAAATCAATCAATTTCATATTATTTTCAATTGCGTATAAAAATATGAAATTCGTTTGATTCAAGATTACAAATATATTTGAGGTGTTAATAATAATAAATTCATTAAACAAGTATAATCATAATTTATAAATTAAACTCATCTGATAAAACATTTCTCCAACCATGTTGTAATAAAATCTTTAATTTCTCCTTTAATTTCATATACCTTTCAAGAAATGCTACGTTTCGATTTTCACCTTTGTCATTATTGTGATCATACAATTCCTCTGCAATGATATTACTCCAATTTGATAATTTACTTTTAGGATCAAATGACAGCCACGCTGTGTAACGATATTTATTTGTTCTTAGGGTATATCCCATTGCTTTAATTTCTTTTAAACGTGGTTCATCACTATTTGGACGTATCGACGGTTCAATGCTTGGCCTTGGATATTGCCCAAATGCCGCTTTTTTCCATGATATTGTCTAAAATTAATAAATATAGGTGTTTTAAGATAAACATTAGGTTTAACAATTATGTATTATTAAAATTATGAAATATAAATTTGTAATTTAACGATACCTCATTTTTTAAGGCAGCTCTTATAAGTGGTACAAAAGTAGTTCCTTCACTACAAGTAATTTGCGTAGTCTCATTTGAACAAATAGGTATTGAAATATTTGCTAAGTCTGCAATTGTTGGAAAAATGTCAACTAATTCTACTATTGAATTAATAAATGTCTGAGTTCTTGCTGACGAATCGTTTACATTTGTATTATCTTTTGATTTTTTATGTGTGAGTTCAGGTATTGATATTATTAATGGTACTTTTAGAGCAACATCATAATTGCTATATTTTGCCCATACTGCATGCTCCCCTAATGACCATCCTATCCAAACATCAAAAGATTAATAATTTAAAAGATACAAATAGAAGATAAAAAAAACATATAAATATTTAATTAAAGATTTTTTAACTAACCATGGTCAGACATTAACATAATAACAGTATTTTTTTGAATTGACAATTTTTTCAGATGATTTATTAATTTACCAATTAAGTCATCAATATATGTTACGGACGCATAGTATGATTGAATAATTAATAGAGCAAAACTTTCTAAAAATTAAGAAGAAATAAACGTATATATCTTCGTGCAACATACGTAAGAAAATAAATTTTCAGGTATCACTTTAACTCTACTTGGTATTTTTTCCCATGGGAATTTAAGATTTAAGGCAGCAACATCTTCCCTTTTCCTTAAGTCATTCCAGGGATTATAGGCAATGCTACTAACATTATCTGACCATTTATAAGGTTCAGGTACTTCAAATTTTTGCAAAGGATGATATTCTGCAAAATATTTTTTAACTATTTTAAATTATTTCTTTAATTAGAACTCTTTATGAGTACTATGACCAATAATAATAATAATTAATTATACTTATATATTTTTTAGGATACTTGAAGGGTATATGCGGTTTTTGAAATCCAACTGCCAAAAAGAAAGGGCTATTATTTCCTGTTTGATTAGATAGAAAATTTTTAGCCTCCTTTAATATTTCTATATCTGGTAATGTTTTATTTGGCATTGATGAAACTTTGACTGGACACAGCTAAAAACATAATATGCAAAATTCCAAGCATTCCAATTTTTTCTTCAAATAATAATTCATTGTTTCACAAATATTACAAGATTTTGTGCTGGTAATAGCTGCTTGTTTGTTTGGCATATTGGAGCATCTTTATATCTTTCTGTAAATGGATGAAAAGGAGTTTCTGACCATGAATAAAGGTTATCATCCGAATTGTTTGAACTAATTCCTGCAAAACATCATAACTAGTATGATCTAAAACAATTTGTATCTGCATATTATATCTTGAAGTAGAAACCTGGATGAAACACTTTTCCTATTGATTTAGTAATATATCCATTATTTTTGAGATGTTGGGGCAATGTTGTAAAGTTACCAGTATTTTTTCGCCAATAACTGTAGAAATCATAAAGCTGAAGTGTATCTGGCCTCCGGCTTGTTAAAAATGAATTTCTACTTGGCGCGCACAAAGCTTGCTAAAAACAAATTTCATTACATGTATATGTATATTTTGCAATAGATCTATAAGCTTCATAACTAATTTCTCAATTTAATACTAACCTGAGCAAATGCTTGGGAAAAAATGGCAGCTTCTGTTGCCAAACGATCTATATTCGGTGTATAAGCTTTAATATCGCCGTAACATCCTAAAGTAGTTCTTAAATCATCAACGATTATTAAAAGAAAATTTTGCCTTTCAGCTGTACACCAAACGATTAAACTGACGAAACACAACGTTACGGACATGATGAATTACGCTAATGATTTGTACATACACAATATACGTGCTATGATACAGATTTTTTTTTGTATGTGTAAGAAACAAAACATTTCAATCAACAGTACTTGTAAAATTAAATACGAGAGTGATTATTTCTATGTGTTTTTTTTTTTTTAATACAGAAATAATGAAGTATCCCATAGTGGAATCTCTTTTTCAACTTACTATTGCACTTTATTTTTCAATGTACAGACATATAAATGAAAATGCTATGTAATGCTTATTTACCTACAATATCTACTACAATAACTACGACATGATCTAACATAAATTACATTAAAATGATACAATAATATAAAATAGTAAAAATTAGTATGGAAAGTCAAGAGTTTTATATTAACATGCGCACAAATTACTGCAGTGAACAGTTTTTTCTCGTGGTTTTTCAAGAATTTTATTCTTATATCTGCCACACTAGGCATATCAATCTACGAAATTGTATTTTTACTTTGCGTTTACTGTTGTATTGATTGAATATTGAGTTTTAACATTTTAAATTTGTTCGAGTTGCTTTTCATATCTTTTTTTTTTTAAATGTAAATATTACAAACAAGTCGATTTAATATTTATTTTGTATATGATGTTTGTAATAACATTTTTTACTACATTGTGAATAAATTTCAACAAAATATACTTAAAAACATTGAAAATATGTTTTTTTTTTTATTCATTTTAACTTTCAAATAAAAAGTTAAATTTAATCTAACATTATAAGCTATGAAATTTGTATCGTATATTTGCACTGAAACAATTGATATTTATAGAAAAACAACTCTGATAATCCTAGAGTTATCTCTCTATTTTACATTTCTATGATTTGGAGTTATAGTCACAAAGATTTGAGTAGTTAACGAGGGCCGTCCCTCATAAAACAAATAAAAGCGTAATTAAAAAGTGACTAGTCAAAAAGATAAAGAATGAAGAATAGAGACGTCTCTATTCGTAAAGAAGGAGGAACAATAATTCAAATGCTTGCGGCCCCGGTAAAGTACTCTGATTCACCGCTATAATTAATTATTCTCACGTTTACGATGCCAACCTGTTTGGAATCAATCCCGCGCCTCCTTCTTAACAACCGACGACGATCTTTGATCATCAGTACTTATTGTACAGTCATTTACATTAATATTGTTCTTTGCTTTAAAGTCAGTCTTAAAATTTGCTTGCGGGTTAGTAGTATCATCTTTAAATATCTCAGTGTAATGAAAACTACTCCCATTCCCAGTCTTTGTATTTGTGCTAGCATTATTACCAGTGCCGTTTGAATGCACTTCGGTAAAGTGCTTGTAGAGCATTACTGTTGTACTAAACTCTGTTTCACATCCAGGAATTTTGCAACTAAAACATATTTTGGTTTGAGGTAACAAATTCAGGAATGTTTGTGAATACAATTGCTTTTAGAATCGACGACACAACTTACCGAAATACTTCACTATTTTTAGTCCCTTGTACTAGTGGCAGTTTTGAATTAGCATGATTGTCCTGGTAATGTTTCCACAGACCGGTCACATTGCTCACCTGAGCTCCACAACCAGGAATCTTGCATCTAATTAATATACAATTAAAATTAACAAACAACTTAAATAAAAAGATCAATTTTTTCATAATATTTGCAGCAATAGTAATTACCTGAGACGCAAAAAATACAATAGAAACTAGAATTTTAAATTACGTTTGATAAATTTTACTAAGCTTCTAAAATCATGAAAACATGTATCTCCTTTTACACATGACAAATTAAAAAAAAAAACATCGTTTTTGCTACTAGATATCAATAATTTTAAACTTACAAGAAGAAACTGACGGTTGAGGCTTTCCCTTGTTTTAATTTCAGTATCGATTTATTAGAATTCGAACTAATTGTATTGGCTGCTAGTTTATGACTATCCTGGTGATGACGATAATGGGATATGTACTTGTATTTTCTCCCACAGCCGTTAACTGCACATTTGTAAATTTCTTGCTTGTACCTAGACATACGTTGTTTCTTTGGGGTATACTCCTCGTCGTCCGAACAATTGCTGTTCGTTTCCATAGTATTTTCGTCGGTTTTTGAAACATCGCGGTCGAGTTCGTTTCTAAAAATTTTCTCTAGATTATCTAGCTCGATTCGGTGCTCCTGATTTCTCGCGTTCATACTGCAAATTTCATTTTTCATATTCTTAGTAATGGTAATATCACCGTTTACGTAAACTACATTAGTCTTTTCCTGGGAATGTTCACTTTGGAGTTCTGAACATTTGTTGGTGTTACTCTCGTACTTAGACAGAAAATTCTCTGTATTTAGTATTAAACTTTCGTTTATAGAAAATGCGCCGGCCTCGTTCAAAGACTCACTAACGGAAGAGTAATCTTCTTTCGGGCTATCGTTCGCGTTACCCTGATCATGGACTACTTCGTTCTTTTGTTGTGCATTATCGTTTCTGAGAAGATTTTGCTCGTTATTATTTTCGTATTGGCATACTTTTACCGCGAGAGATTCGTTTGTTCTCTTCTCGTAACATTCATCTGCGCTTTGTACAACTTCCTCGTCCATTGCATTCTCAGGATCTTCGAAGCATATTACTTCCGGCTCCGTTGGCAATGCTGGCGGTTGTCTATGGCAGTTTTCGATATGTTCCTCTAGATTAATACTGGTTGTATGCAAGGAGCCGCAATTTGTATATGGGCATATAAATACATTTGTTTCATTATTGTGCCATTCTTGATAATGACGCCACATACTTCCAGGGTCCGACAATTCTTCTCCACATCCTGGTTCTCGACAACTGGAAATTTAATTACTAGCTAGAAAAACAATTTCACCAGTTTTTCTCTTTTTTTATAGTGAATGAATAACGACTTACATAAACCTAATCTTCAAAGCCTCGAGAGCCTCATGCGTTTTGTATTCATCTTGGTTAGTAAATGTTTTGCCACAGCCTCGTTGTTTGCAGGTATATATTTCCTAAAAACATATTATTGAATATCTGAATTCAATATTATTAAATTTCAATTAATTTCACTCTGTTTTGTGTTTCTATATATTACTATTGAAATATAATGACCAAATAGGCAAAAGATTGACTTATACCATTATACAATGCAATGTTCTTTTACCATAGCAAAGTACAATTTTGTAATTTTGTAACGGTGCAACTTTGCAATGGTAAAGAAAACGTAATGTTCTTTGATAGTATTGAATTTTACAAAAGTCATACTTTGTGGCTGTACACTTATTGGATGTAAACTTTTTCAAGTTTGTAAAATACTTTTTTAAAGTGTACAGCCATTGTAGTAGTTAATATTAGCCATTCTCCACCATAAAGGAGGAGAGTTTCATATTTACAAATTCTTTTAATTAGATTAGGACTTCATCAATTATTATATGCTGTTTATCATTAAAAAGAGTTTGTACATGTATATACAATGAAAAATGGTTGCTATTTTTAATGAGAATGTGACTATCTTCTATGTTATACAATTTTTTCTTTTTTATACGGGTTAAATATCTAAAATATATACCACACTTTGATTTTATTTGTTCGACTCTCAAAAAATCGAGAAATGTAACAACTTTCAAAATGCTGACAGACTCAACAATGATCGACTCAGCAATGCTCCATGATGCAAATTTACAACAGAACACTCAATTATTTTCTTATTTCCGTTCTCTCGTGTCGTAGTGTTAACTCCGACGAGTATAAAAGAGTAACTTTGACCGTGTAACGTAAGAAACTGACGAACACGGACGAACGACAGGCGATTTGTTTTGAGTTGGAGGTCATTGAACCCAGCGAGTGCCTCCGGCGGCTGTACCTTCTTCGGGGCTATTTCCTCGATGGTACGATTCCTGGAAACGAATCTGATGACGCTCACTTCGGCGGGCCTGTCCGTGCATGTATCCGTACCCTGGCCCATCCTGCGGCCAATATGCGTGGAGAACGGGCGAATGACGACGCGTTTCGATGCTCACATAACCTGCATTCACCGACGAAGTAAAACAGAGAATTGAGTTTTCCCAGGCCCTCGACGGGACAAAAGCCCGAAACGGGACGCTTTGCTGGGGGTTTACTCACCAACGAAGTGCGCTCCCCGTTCGCGCCGCGATGCCTCTCCTTGTTTCACCTCATATTACAACATTCGCTGCAGTATCAATCATTTGTTGTCATTTCAATATATTCAGGCTGCTATTCACAGCACAGCCGTCTCTCTGCCTATCCTTCAATTCTTTCCGTGCCTATCTTCACGTCGCGTCGGGATTAACGTGTATCGATAAGTCGCGTCGATCCGTGCTGTCTCTCGTTCGTCCCATCGATTTTTGAAATGTGACTCTTGGCGGATACGTAACTGTATCGTTCTCGATATATCGCTAACATAGGAATGAAACAAGAAAGAAGAGTCGAAGAGGTTCGTTTTTCGAAGGAAAAAATCTTCCTTGAGATATACGTACATTATCAGGTTTCTTTCAATTTTTTGCAACGGCACGTTGCTTTCAAATGGCGCAATAATCAAATGGCCAAGTCGTAAAAAGAAAATTCATCCAAATATATATATATACTTTTTCCGCTACTAATTTTATTAATATCATTTAATTATATTGCAGTGATCTTTAGCTGGAAAGAATTTTCACAAATTGATTCAGCGCAATTTGTACAATATGGTGTGTTTCGTTTTTTCTATCTTCTATGCATAAGTAAGGTCCACGTTTTTGTTTTTTTTTTTTTCTAGTTGAATTACTCGTTTTTTTTCTCTCTTTCCGATTCTAGACTGTTATTTAAAATCTGCGCCACGGATGCTTTTGTTGGTCTTTGTACGGCATTGTATGGAATAATCAAACAATTCAAAGTGATTATATTCCTACAGGTGTTTCTTTTCTTCAATAATATATATTTTATTTATTAGTATATATAGTATAATATAGTATATAGTAATAGTACTATAGTATAATATAGCATAATATAGTAATAGAACTATAGTATAATATAGCATAATATAGTAATAGTACTATAGTATAATATAGCATAATATAGTATGTAGTAATAGTACTATAGTATAATATAATATAATATAGTATATTTCTGCTTTATATCATAAGGAATTAATTAAACAATTCATATTACCAATTCAAAATAATTATACTGTTACAGATGCATGTTTTCTTCAATAATATATATTTTACTTACTACAGTATACATGCATGTATATATTTTGTTATTTCTGTTTTTTATGTATGAAATTTATTGAGAAATTTCTACGAAAGTGGATCGATTTTCATGCTTATAGTACTCGAAGGTGTTAATGCGTATGCCAGTCACTACGTAAACATGGTCAGGTCGCTATTAGCCAGAATGTCACCTGCACGTCGCTATCGATTTATATAGGTGCCAGTTTCATTGTAAAAAGCAGAGTCTATCAATATACGATCGTCTACATTTAAATACAATCAATTCAGATCGATGTAATTTTAGTTTGGATTGAAGGATGCGCGTCCTTTGCTCGTTACTTCTTGTAGCATTATTTTTTATTCAAGAACGTACACAATGTGTCCGTGGTGAAGGTACGTATGTAGATAAATACATGATCGATTTCTAAACCCATTTCTTAATAAGGATATATAATTAATAACGATATATAAATTATATAAATCATATTGTTGCACGACATTTAAATTACATTTGTACATTTCTCGATATTTTTATTTTTATTTTCTGTTGTATTATTCTCCGATTAATTCTATTAATTGAAAAATGTATTGATTTAGTATCTCTCCGTGTTTAACTTAGAAATGTGAATGAATCAATCAGTTACTATTGTGTTGGCACTTTAATATAAGTGTAAGATTTTTGCTATTAAAACTTTAATATAAGTGTAAGATTTTTGGTATTTAAACTTTAACATAAGTAAGATTTTTTAAAAAAATTCCTCATTTTTGTATTACTTTGTACTCATAGATAGCATAAGCGATACAAATAATGCGGAGGTACCGTTGCAACTGACAGTAACATCGTGGAATGTAAGTCTGATCGAAAGAATTCAATGTATTTTCCGTTTTTAAGTTGAGAATATTTTTTACAGGACATGCCTTTCTCAGGAATTGTGCAGGAAAATGGAAAATGGATTGGTAAAGGGTATGCGTTTTACATTTTTGATTTACTCAGTTTAAAACTGAACTTTACCTATACCATTGTTCCACCAAAAAAACATATTTTGGGAAATAAAGATAACGGCGTTCTTAGTTTACTCTACAACAAGGTATCATTCGAGAATTTGTACTATGATACAATGATGAAAGTAGCTCAATGATCTGTTCGTTAAAAATTTATTTCATTTCGTAGACAGTAGACGTAGCTGTTGCATTTCTTCCTGTATTACCAGAAATGGGTCAATATTGCACGTTTAGCACTCCATTGGATGAAATGAAACTAACTGCTGTGATGAAGAGGCCTCAGGACTCAGCTACAGGTTCTGGTCTTCTGGCACCCTTTGAAAGAACTGTCTGGCTATTGGTTTTAGCTTCACTAATTTTTGTGGGACCGATTATTTATCTTTTCGCCAATATAAGGTTTCTGACAAATTTTTAATAATTTCCACGACTATTGTGGTCGGTAAGAATTTTAATTCAATCGTTTATTACGTAGAGCGAAATTGTGGCACGATCCCACTTCTGAAAACTTCAGTTTGTCCTCCTGTTTTTGGTTCGTTTATAGCTCTCTGTTGAAGCAAGGAACAAATATTGTTGCTACAACTGGTAAAATATATTGACTAATTTTAAATACTCGTTATTAGACTACGGATGTTTAATCTATTCACTATTATTATAACTTTTTAATACTATAATTGGATTGGCAGATTCTACACGAATGCTTTTCGCTACATGGTGGATTTTTATATTGATTTTAACGTCCTTCTACACGGCGAATCTCACCGCGTTTCTCACAAAGCCTCAATTTACGCTGTCTATTAGTTCTCTGCAAGATATTGTTAAGAAAGGGTATAGCTGGGTTACCTATGAAGGACGCACGATTGACTTTCTTCTTTCTCAAGTAAGAGAGATCTTTCTAAGCGTTTGTTGAATTATCTTTTTTAATAATAATAAAAAACTTTGACGTACAACTCGTCACTTTCCCAGAACCATCAAACCGAATTGAGTATATTGAACGCAACTAAAACGCCTCAAAATTTTGAATACCACGAGTCCTCGAAAGATATTTTACAATTAGTCAGCACGAGTATGTACTAAATATTGTAATATATAAAGAGACATCGTAAAATCATTTCACGAATTTTTCTCATCCGATTCTCCCTCTTCTTTTAGAAAGACTCTTCCTGGCAGAAACGCATTACTTGCAAACTTTAATATTCGAGAACTACGTGAAAAAGACTCGTCAACGCTTGGACCATAACTTACGTTGTACGTATGTTATAATGCCTGGTAGCATTTTAACAACCAGCCGTGCCTTTGGCTTTCCACTTAATTCAACTCTTGGAAAAAATATCAATCTAATGTAAGATTCATAATAATTACAATTCTTTACAAGATTTACAATTCAGTTCCATTCCAAGTCATTTGCTAAAAATAAGGACAACTGTTTACCATCTCCATTCTTCTTTTCTTTTTTTCTTTTTAGGATAGAAACTTCGTTGTGACAATATTGGTATAATTTCTTTGGTTATCATTGCAGGCTGTTAAAATTACTAGAAACCGGTATTATAAATCAGAAGAAGAAAGAGGATCTACCATTAGCTGAAATCTGCCCAGTTGATCTTCGATCGAGCGAGAGACAGTTGCGAAACACCGATCTTCTTTTGACATACAAAGTTGTCGTGGCTGGATATACAATCGCTGCGATTATCTTTTTATTCGAATTGATATACGCGTTTATATCGTATCGGATGAAAAATAGTAAAAGAAGAGTCTGCTTGTCCTGTTGCGCACCAAAAGCAAAGGCGCAAAGCTTTTCAAACAATAACTTCTCAGCGCAGAATTTTGTGACTTTAAAAAGAAGTCCACCAGCGATTTATCAGTATCCTGACAATGTTTTGATGCAACGAAAACAACAACTTATCAACGGAAGAAGTTATTACGTGGTCACCAATCCGTACGGTGACCGAAAATTAATTCCGATCGGAACTCCTTCCGCATTTTTATTTCAATACGCAGCCTAATTGTACTGAAGATATGTAAGATACATATGGATATATCTTTTCTACTTAATATACAGACATTTGTATGTTAAATTAATTTGAAAATTGAAATTGATACTCGATACAGGAATTTCCTATTTCTATTTTTGTGAAATTGTTATGATATTGAGGATTATTACGATATCATATTAAATTATTATGACATAGTTTATATTTATAATACGAATTTTAAAATTCCCTGACGTTCAGGAATTGTATCAGGATTTTTAACACTGTGTATAAATGTTGTGGAGTGTTGCAAAAAAGAAGGAAAATATAATGTTTGTGAATTTTTGTATTTCTAAACTTATACCTCTTTTAATTGATGAAAATCCTTGTTGTATTTATTATAACTTTTTTCTCCATTGACAATATGATCTTTGTTAGATCGTATTAAATTACATACACACATGTGCACACATACATTCATGTATATTATCAATAGTATGTAGTTATATTTGAATAGATAGTAAGAACACTATTTAGGGAATTTGATTTTTATCGTAACTGATCAATTAATATTCTCGCGCTGTTGGTAATACTGAATTTAAGATTGGGGAGTGAACAAGTTAGTAAACAATACGAATAGTAAATTGTTCGTTAGATTGCCCGGGCGTTTTTGTAAATATCTACTTGTGTTCTTTTGTATTTATGATACTTTGTCGTTGGCATTTCAAATTAAATACTTATCAACTATGTGATTTAGCGTTTTTACAGAAAATTAAACACACTTCCTGTTGTATTTTATTTTGTTTTGCGAAAAAATATTTTCCCTGTTGTATTTTTGATAACAAATCTGTGAGGTAATTATACAAATAAAATAAATTTACATATTTTTTCTTATCACCTGTCACGGTAATAAATTGTTTCCAAATTGTGCAAGTATCTTTTCTTTGATATAAGGTAAGAGTCATCACTGTTTTGCAAATATTTAACAAATAATATATTTTGTAGGAAAACAGAGTGAAATGGCTGAGGCGGAAATCTGTGGATTTCTGGATGTCAAGTTTTGTGGCAGTAAGTCCAAAGTTCACAGAGTTAAAAGAAGAACGTTGGGCCCTTGGAAGACTTGGAAGAGACATTGGTGTTCTTTCGAGAAACTAAGCTCTGGAGAAGGTCTCAGAATGAATCTTGATTACTGTATTAGCAACGACAATAGTACCTCGTCGAATGACAAGGAGAATTTCATAGTAATACCGTCGGATGTTGTTGTTTGTCGCGCCCAGTCCAGATCCAAGCAATTTGCTTTCGGCATATTTCCCATTAAAGAAAGAAAACCATTACTCTACTTGGCTGGCAATTCGGAAACGGAGTCACAACGGTGGATGACAAATATCAGGCAGCTGCTGAAACCCAGAATACTTAAATTTGAACCTGGATCTTACAAAGTATCTATAGTTGATAACCTGCACTCCAAGGCATCAGGGCTGACAGGTATTTAAATCATTGCTCGTGGAAAGAATTCGTGCTTCTTGAAATTTAATTGCTAAAGTATTCTCCAGGGCTGTACGGCGACTTGACGACCAACACATCAGGAGTTGTGATAAAAGATATTCATTCAGGAGAGATATTAGAGAATTTTAAGTGGTACGAGCTGAATCAGTTCCATTTGGTTACGGCAGGACGACCAGACGACGTTAAATGTATTTGTGTAATTCATACAACAGAAGAGTTTCGCGCCGGGATCGGTGAACTGCATTTATTTTGTTTAGAAGCTGGCGAATTGTTGCAAGATTTGGTAACTCAGGGCCGTGGTCCAAAGCATAAACAAATTAAAACGAGGCCTCACAGCTTAAGCGAAGGCGATATTAGAGTATGCCGTGACAAGCGTCCACGTTGGTTTTCAGTAACAACTGAAAAAATGAAGTTAAAAGGAGAACCAAATGAAAAATACGAAGAAATAGGTTGTAGGACGTCTAACAAAATGAATGAGGATGTTTATCAACCAGAACCATATAGTCATCATCATACTAGAAGTCACTCGGATATTTCTGTAACATCAGGGATTTATGAAGAAATTCCAGACGAGTTGGAAAAGAATGCAATAGCTACTTCAAGTTTCTACATGGAGCATTTCCTTCGTGATCGATCAGAAAAACCACCACCTTTGCCCCCACGACAAAGGTGCGCCTCAGAGTCCATGAAAGGAAGCAGGTTTGTATCTATTTAATTTTCTTTGTTACATGGCAGAATTATACTTATTTGATATTACGTTTATTTTAATATATATCTTTTCTTTTAAGATGCAGACTGGAAAATGTTCAATCCTTTGGACCCACTAGCTCACCTCTATCAACATCTCCTGAAAACTCTGTACAGATTGAAAGAAATAATTCAGAATTTCAAAGAATAACGGACGAGTCTAGTTATGTTCCTATGTCACCACGATTAAAAGATATCACATTAGTAGAAATGCAAGCAGCTCTACAAGAAAATGATTACGTTTTCATGCGATAGACGGAACGTTAGCTGCGGTACGGTGAATGAATTTCCGTGAGAGATCTTAATATTTGCTATCTAATGCTTGGTATCTATTTCTTCTGAACCATTTTTTAAATGTATATACACATGTTTGGAAGAAGATACAAAAGACGAAGCATGGTTGGTATTAATTCAATTACATGCAGAGACAAGAAATGATTGAATACTTTTAAACAATTTTAAGCATTATTGAAAACCTACTGATTTGTACAAAATTTCATATACTTTATTCAAAATTATAAATTTGTACACGTGCGAGGCTTCCGTTTTCGGAACTGTATTGGAGCGCATTGTCGCAGCAGATCCATATTGCTTAAATCAGTTTAAAAAATTTCCTTAATATCAATTTTCCAGTTATAATTAAATTCTCTAGATTCTATATATTTTTAAATTAATCTGCAGCTGTTAATCGATGTTTCGAGGCTAATCCGTGATTTGTAAAAATATCAAATTCTTCGCGGTTTAAAAGAGCTCCACGTACATCGTCCAAAACGATCACCTTCGGATATCTACAAATAAAAGAAAAAAAAAGACTGTCATAATTTTGTGATAATACACACACACACACACATATATATGTATATACATATATACATAAATATTTATATAAATTATCATTATATATTTGATATTTGCATTACAAAAAAAATTGTGAATTTTATACGAAATATATGTATATATATTCAAATAATCCAGTTGGAAAAAAGATATATTTACCCATTGTCGCTGCATCTTTCCCAAGCTTTCGCCAAAGACATTCTAACTAAATCTTCAACAAGACATTCGACAGCCTAGCAAAATATAAAACATGTACAAACATTTGAAAGGATTCTGATTAGTTTTTAAATTGAGTAGAAGTACTTAAATAGAAACATACTCGCATTATCATACGTCCAGCCGCACAGTGTGCAACAGTGGGTACAATTTCCTCGGAGATTAACTTGATACCAATCTCCCTGGCAGTTTCGCAAACAAAATCGTGAAACGGCACCAATCTCTTCTCAAGTTCCAATACTGTAATTGTTGCGTTTGTAAATTCCTTGCTTTCTCTCGTTTCTTTTAGTCTTTTTTTGTTTTCTAGTGTATTATCAGTATTTACCACATCAACTTCAATGTCCAGCTCACTGGAGTAACGCGAATCACTATCGAATAAATTATCGTTCGATTGACTCGAATAGATTTCAAGCCACTTGTAAAAAGCACTGGGCTGCGTGCACGTGGAGATTCTTTTCGCGACCGCGGAGCCAGGTAAACTTTTCTGCTGTTTCATTGAACGGATGTTAAAATTTGAAGAAAGGGGCGTGTAACCATGCAATCTTGCCCAGATCATTATTTCCTTGGTGCTCCATAATTCCTCCTCAGTGAACGACCTTTTCCTCAGAAAATGATGTATCATTTTTGCTCGATGCCATTCGCAGGCAATACGCTTCGCTTCACTGTAGCTAAAAAATTCCTCCTGGCTCACGCAGGCATAAGGATGGAGTCCTCTGTAATCGCAGTCAAATGCGTCCCAAGTTATCATGGGCATTCTTCTGATAATGAATCGCAGCAGGGCCTGAACATTTCGAATATTTGTAACTTCAATCGCCCGGTATACTTGGTCGTACAACTCTTTTTTACTCTGAAGCTTGTATTTGTCTTTGCCTAAAGTGATCTTCTGACGTGATAACTTATACTCTTTCCACACCTCTTCTGTGTACGCTTTCAACATTTGTTCAGTGACAATTGGCTCTTTCTCAATATTGGAGGAAACGTCGCTTGACAAGTTTCTTTTCTCGGCTATTTTTAGCACCGGCACGTTGGAATTTACATTTAGGAGAACACCTTTAGAAACTTGAAGCTTCGCTCCCTGTTGCGTCTTTGCTCCGTTGAGATTTCTCACTTGGATTCTGGCTTCTGCGACTGGCGGCTTTCTCAACAAGCTAACACTGCGAGATGCAGCTAAATTTGCTCTCGATTTTGTCGAATCGATACTGCGAACATAATCCGCACTTGCCATATCGACATGTATCATGTTATTGTTCCGGAGGACTAAAACATGTTTGTTTGCAGATGGTTCAAACAACGGAGGGATAGAAATTTCCAACGGGCAAAGGTTTGAATGAATCCTGGAACAACTTAGCGGAAGCACTCTCGATGCGTTCAGATCATGTTCGTTTGACAAAAATACACCAATAGTTCCCGGTTCCTCCTTTACTTTCACATTTGTGAAATATCCGTTTATTAAAGATTCATTAGTTTCAGGAAGCTCTCCTGTATCTTCTTCCTGCCGATTATTTATCGTGACCGTTTTACGCGAGGATGAGCCAGTCGACGTTACAGACGAGTGATTGATAGTTAAATTTCTGTCGGAATTTAAATACTTGGGGCCACAGTAATCATGGTCAAGCTCTATACAGAATAGTTGTTTCTCGTTTGTTAAATTTTCAGTTTCCGTGTCCTCCAGTGGTTCCTTCTTGACTATCACTTCACAATTCTTGTTTTGTTCCAATTTTGATGTTTCATTTACGCTTACGTTACTCGTGAAATCGGACAGGAGATTCGGGTCTTCGTAGTTCTCCAGCTTCACCGTCACGCAATCATTAATCGTGTCGCTCCCGTTCAAATCTTGATTCGCGACTTTGTCCGCATTTCGCCTGAAATTTCGAGAATCTGCGTAGATCCATATATCGACAAGTGTCTCGGATCCTAAAGTTTGCAAACCGGTGTAAGTGCGGTCCAGCTTCAAATGATGTATTATGTCCATTGGTTTGTTGAGAGCACTTTTAAAGTGCAGTTGTACTCTCAGCGGGAATTCACCCCAGCCTCGTCTCGAGAGGCAGAACGGTGCTGACGTAACCTCGACAACGTCGTTGGGCCTGTAACTCGGGTGTAAAAAGAATCTGACCTTGCTGACAAAACCACTAATGTCAGGATTCTCTTTGTCCCCTCTGACGTACATTGTCCATTTGTGGCTAGCTGCGTCTTCCCTCCATTCCGGAGGGATCCACTTCGAGATGTTTCCAATAATTATGCGTTTCCTCGTCTTGTGCCTGGTGCCTCTCGACGGGCACTGAGACTCCGGGACTCCACTTTTCGGCGGGATGTAACGGGGGATTTTCTTTGGCCGCGATTCTTCATCGCGCACCTCGTTGTTCCTTTTCTCTAATTGACACTGCTTAGAAATTTGTTTCGTTCCACCAACAATACTAGACGACGATGTCGAGACTGACTGCGACGCAGTGAAATCACTGTTGGATCCAGATGCAACTGAACTGTCGGTTAACTTGGGTGCTTTGCCGATCAGCTGTTTTATCGCGGGATGAATTTGCGTTTGCTTTGGCTCTCCGTTCTGCGAATTATGACATTGTTTGCGATTGTAGAAATCAGCAACGATAACGCAGCGTAAAAGATGAATGATCTTTGTTGCTCTGTGCAATCTTTCTTGTATCTCCAGAACCTCCTTCTCTTTTGCACTGATCTCCTGACTGAATTCCCTTTCAATGATGGCGGTTATCTTTCTCGCTGTGCTGCTTCGTGCTAAAACGAAATAAAAGTGAAAATAACAACAAAATATACAACTACCTTCGTATATTATTCAATTTCTTTTTTTTAGCAATGCTACAATAAAAAGTGTCGTTGGAATTAAATACAAGTGCAATACAACGTATGTACCATTTTCTTCGAAAATTCGTTGATGTTTCTCGTCACTTGCGTCGGACGGCCCGTAATCGGGATCTTGATCTTTTAAGGCACTCATTTACCATAGTCGTTCTCGAACGTGTGATAATCAAATTGGAAAGATATTCGAAGCCGATTTTTTTTATTCTTCACGCGTAACAGAGAAGCTACGCCTTTCTCAGCGAGTGATTTTCTTCCACAATGTATATGTACCGTGTAACTTCTCGTCAAACCACCCGTCGAGCGGGTAGGATAACAGTTTAAAGTGTCGACTTCAATTCTGTAAACAAACGACGGAGGTTATATTCCATCACGAGACACTCCATTTCAGTCAGCGGCGGTGATTAATTTTAAAAATTAGAAAGTCCACTGCACACCGTTTGACTATAATTTTCTTACACACATTATTAGAAATGTGATATATCATAGTGACAAAATACGTACGTATATGTACATATACACACGCAATATCGAAGTTCAGTCACTACACTGTCCATATGTTACCTCATATGACATCGAAATCTTGAGAGCGTGACAATATACGTGAAGTATGCCATTAGCGCGACGTAACATACATATGTAAAGTTAACGCTTAGTAAAAACAGGCGTGCTTCGTGGTACAAAAAAAAATCTGGTCAATTTCGTCACCCACTTCCCTAAAAGCGATGACTGTCGTCGTCGACGTTCTTCATTGTCGTGCCCGTTTATAGAACGACGATCTTTCAAACTTCTAACCTCACCTGATCCAATCTCGTCAATTCTCATTGGCGTAAAAAATTTGACAAAAAAGAAAAGGAAGAAAAAATCTCGAGTAAACGCGGCGACGTAAGGATTTTCAGGCCTCGTGTGGGGATTTTTTTTTCCTCTGTCTCTCCCAGAACAACCGATAGGTGTCGCGACCTAGGGACTTTCGCGCGACCGACGAGCTTCGACTAGGGGAAATGCCGCGCGATGGATTGGCAACAGGCAGCCTGGCAGAGTGTGTGCAAGTGTAGTCATGGCTGTCTGACAAAACATTCGAAATAACAAGAATTAACGCGGCGGTTGGTTGTCGAGGGTGCGATGTCGTGTTGCCCGCGAGGCGCAACACTGTCCTGACTCAGGTTACGAACGGTTGGTCAGTGACACGCCAGCGAAGGATCGATTCGCGGCCGCCTGGCACGTTTCACGGTGCGCCCGCTATAGATCACCGTCAGGAATAATAATAAATAAGTGGATCGGACTGTGGATCAGAGAGGGGAAAAAATCATCGTGTCGCGGAACCGAAGACGATCTCGCGCAAGAACGCCTCTCGGTGCTCCGTTCCGTGGTTTCCTTGCTGAGGCGAGCGTCGTGTTCCAACTTCGACCACCGACAACGATCGATTACGCAAGATGACCATTCTGTCGAAGAAGAAGACGAACGCTTCGAAGGACAGACGGGAAGGAGGTAGTACGTCCGAAGTCGACGTCCACGGCGTGCAGAACGAGCACAACCCCGGGTCCATCGCGCTACCAAACAGCCCGTATCAGGTGAATGAGTATAATGTCCACCTCCCCTTTCTCCCTCCCCTCCTCATCCCCGTTTCCGCCACCCTTGTCGAAGCTGCGCTACTCGCGCGAGCACCACTCTTCTAGCTGCTGCATAGTTGCTTATTTAGTTGTCGCGATAGCCCAGTCTCTCAACGAAAACGTTTTCCGATACGTGACAGGTACGTGCAGCGAATGGTTTCGCGGTTGATCTACATGGGGTACAGAGCGATCATGGATCCGGTTCCATCGTTCTTACGGGAGGCTCGTACGAGGTAGGAGATACATAAGGACCGATTATTTTCTTTTTTTTTCTTTTCTAACCCCCACCCTCTCCCTTCTTCTTCTCTTCATCCTCCTCCTCCTCCGCCACCTCCCCGTTGTCGCGCAATTCTCATAGTAAGTCACATTACGTACAAAACGTTTGGATTTTGGAAATTTGGTTTATCCCTCGTTTCTTCTTTCTTCTTATGTTTATTTCTACACATCCTCAGCTGTTATATTTCGCCGCTTTAGTCCGTTAGTGTTGGTGAAGATGTTTTTTCTTTTCAAAGAAGTTTTGTCGTTGTAGCTTGACACGTTGAAAGAAATAAAAGGTGACAACCATAGGGTCCTATGAGAATTAAAGAATGAAAGTGCCATTGTTGCTAACAATAAGTTATTTCACGGTATTCTAAATTTGTGAAAGTTTCTTGGAATATTCTTTTTTTTCTTTTTTGTTTTATAGATGATCATTAACTGCATGTACCATATCCTTCTATGATTAATAAGAATATATTATAATATATTCAACACACATTTCATGCATCTCATGTGTTTTTCCATTAAAGTCAAGTGTAGATCGTCGAGAAGACAAGCATTTTGAAGAAGGAAGTGGTCCCAGTCATGGCAAGCGTCATAGGCAACGGGCAAGTCCTCATAGGTATGACTAAAAAGTTTTCCAATTTGTTTATCATTTTATACAAAATGTAAATGTTTATATATTATAATATATACAACGTTTTATAATTTACATATATGCTTCAATCAATCTGTTATATCATTCATGTTTCATTTGTCTCATGCGGAGTTTTTGTTTTACAGTAGCTGTATCGGAAGAAATTCACGTTCCAAACGTGAAAGAGAAAGAGACAGAGGGCGAGAAAGAGACAGGGAGAGAGAAAGAGAACGTGAAAGACAGGCTACACCTCCCACTGCATCTGGCAGTGGTTTACAAGGTACATATTTCTAATGCTTCTTTTACCAATACATTAAGTTTATCGTGTAATATCTGAATAAGTATAAATCGGTTTAAATTATATTGAGAAAGATCATTTTTCTTTTACATTAAAGTATTTTTTTATATAAAATAAGAAAGTATTGTGTCAAAAAATAATGACTAATACATCTTACTTAGCTACAGATGGTAGTGTCATAGCTAACAACCGAATGGCTATTGTTGGGGCTGCTGCAAATATAGAACATGAATTAGCTAATGGATATAACAGTGGTGATGAATATACTGGCAGAACTGGGAATAATCTTACACTAGCTGAATGGCAAGAGGTTAGTTATGAATCGAATGTATATTGATTTAAGTGTTTTACTATTACCGAATGCTTATTGAAAATACATTCTATTTTTCATATATAGCGAGATAGGTGGTTTGAGAAACGAATGCGGAAAATGGGATTTATTGTCAAGAAAATGGGTGAAGACGGAGCATGTCTGTTTAGAGCTGTTGCAGATCAAGTTTATGGTGACCAAGAAATGCATGGTGTAGTTCGGAAGCATTGCATGGATTATATTGTAAGCATTGAGAACGAAGTATAAAAGTAAATTTATCATTTGTAACGTGTGATCTTTTAGGCTTCCAATCAAGAATTTTTCTCTCACTTCGTAGCGGAAGATTTTAGCACGTATGTAGATAGGAAACGGCAAGAGTATGTACATGGGAATCATATAGAGATGCAAGCAATGTCTGAAATGTATAATCGTAGCATTCAGTTATATTGCTACAGTACTGGTACGTATTAATATGCGCTTTGGTGAAGCAAATTTTTTTACACGTTTAACAATATCACCTTTTATAATTGTAATGCAGAACCTATTAATATTTTCCATACGATGGTTGAAAGTGATAATGAACCAATACGATTGTCTTACCAACGTGGTAGCCATTATAATAGTATAGTAGATCCGTATAAAGCTACAATTGGCGTTGGTCTTGGCTTACCATCATTTAACCCTGGCGCTGCAGATCGACAGCTTATATCAGATGCAGTTCGTCAAAGCGAAGAATTACATATTGAACAGGTGAAGAGTTACTAGAGTCAATTGTTACGTTTCAAATTTTTAACTTTAAACTTTAAACTTTTAATAAACAAAATAAAATAGAATTTTTGTGCGCAGACTATGCTAGAAGATAAAATAAAAGCAACTGATTGGGAAGCAACGAACGAAGCTATAGAAGAACAAGTTGCCAGGGAAAGTTATTTGCAATGGTTAAGGGACAATGAAATGCGAAAAGCTGTAAGTTGTGCAATTTTGTCGTAGATAAGTACGAAATGTTACTGATTCCTGATTTAATTAAAGCGATCAGCCAGTAGCAGCAGTACAAGTACGGTAACAAGTGCGCAACACAGTCACGCGCATTTTCATCCTCATGGAGGTCGTGGTCAACAACGTAGCCACACTTCTTCTCCGACCACAACTCAAACTAGCCAAGATAATTTGCGTAATTCACCAAAAGTCTGTTTTACACTAAGGTTACTAATAGTGTTATCTTGTATATTATGCTTTGTATGTTTTAATTTATAATTTTAGGTAAACGATTCCGTAAGATATAATAAAAGATCCCCGCAACATCAGTCAACACAAGGATCAACTATGTCTCACCTTGCCTCAGACTATGAATCTAAAATCTCTCAGGAACCTGTACCAGGTAGCAGTAAAGAGGCTCACGCTTCACCGGATATCTCGTTATTTAATCGTCTTCCTCCTGAAGTGTTTGGTAAGTTGAGTTAACGGTTAAATCAAATGTCAATAGTTAAATTAACTTAGGTAGAATGTACAATTAACCCGGGATTATCCACCTGGGGGTCTAGTGCAAGTACATCCCGGCAATGAATAATTTTCACTATGTCTGTATGTTGCTAGGTTTGACTGATTGGGAAGACAGTGATATACTTACGCAAGTTTTGGCTACGTCACAGCAAGAATACTTGGACAGCTTGAAACAATCACGGAGTTCTACCTCCTCTGGAAATGATACTAACAATATACTAGATTCCAGTAATAGTTAATTTTTAAAATCGTTATCGATAAAGTTTAAATGAATACTGAAGCAAAAATATATGCATTTGTATGCAGCGTTTTTCATAGGATGTGATATATCCGAAAAATAAGATAGTTCTAAATCAAAAAAAGAAAAGAAAAAAAGAATGAAGCAATTCTTAGTGTTATCACATGGTCATTAGTCACTGAGAGTCATCGATGATTGTGTTGAATGCATGCCTAATAAACTTAATTACCGATTTATTACAATACGTCATACTAATTTTTGTTAAAATCACTGTCAAATTAGATTCAAATTGCAAGGTATATCGAGTTTCCAAAGAAATGGTTGGATCGTAATTTTATCTAATACAATTACAATGTATTTATAAGATTTAGAATCTTGGTAAATGCGTGAATGTAAGTCGAATATTTTATAGTAGCAGAAGTAACAGTATGAGCAAATCAATATTCTTCTTTGATAAAACAATTAATATATAGAAGTGTTTTAAGTTTATTAAGGATGCATCTGCTTTCCTCCTCTAATAACGTTAAATATAATTAACAAAGAAATGATCACGTAAAAGCATCAAGAATTGTTCTCTTTAGTTAAAACGTTTTTGGTTTTACATATGGGTTTGACAATGCATCTTATGGGATACTCTGTACATATTGCAGTATCATCTAATTGCACTAGGGTATAAGGTGGTTTGCTTTTTTTCATTGAAAGTAAATGTTTGGTCAGCATAATCATCGTTCAATTTCATTTCAGACTTAACTATGTGTGCACGAGTGCTTCAGAAGTACGTAATCGTGTATACGTAAAACGTGTGCACTTTTTTTTTTTTTTTGAAAAATTAGTGTAGCCATATTGTTTTATCAGCAGTGTTTCATATTACTATGGTCAAGAAATTTTTTACGATCGATCCTTAAAAAGTAATCCCTTTTCTGTCGTTGTCCATCTATATTAAAGTCTCTGCGTGTTCTTGAATGCAGCGTTCATCTCATTATGGATTATGCAATTTAATCAGGTCAATTGCGTCGTCACATACTCTTTTTTTCTTTTTTTTTTTTTTTTGGGGTGGTATGATATGATACATCTAAACGCTTTAGAAAAAAACGAAATCTTTATTGCGTTATTTGTAAAAAAAGACAAATAAAACTACTATATGTAATTTAATGCCCGAATTTTCCCTATCTTCGCATATGTGCTTTCGTTAATAATGTAAAGAAGAAAGTGTCTACTAACACAAACCTTAGAGATCTCCTTAAATAGTATTAAAACTAAATACTTTACAAATTGTGAGCAAGCAAGAATGCGTTTTTTGTAAACACTTTTTATGAATAATAATAAATCCACAATCTATGCACGTCACATGTTCTCGAAATGTAATCAAATTTCATTTGTGCATTGCAAATTATAAGCATAAATGAAGGAGCAATGAATTCGTTGCAACTTTCGTGTGATTTTATTTTGTTAATTCACAATATTGCCCCGCCAGTTGTGAAACTGATTGAATCAAAAAATCGTACATATTATTAAAGCTGTATCATTCCAAAGCTTTTCTCGAAAAGCTGAATAACATTTAATCATTTAATCATTACATGTCGTTATGTATTATTCAGTTTTGAATACTTGGCTATAAATAGATGTATCCTGACATACTAGAAAAAAAAATTCAAAATACAAATATTGTTCGTATTGATCTATCATAACAAATCGATTACTGTTGCTCCATAGTCAAGCGTGTCTACGAATGTACGACATACAGCCATCTGATTTTGTTTTTTTTTTTTTTTTTTTTTAATTGTTTTTTTTCGCATTAAATGCGAAGTTAATTCGCATTAAATGCTTTATAAAGTAGAAAA